CCCTTTTTTTTTTTTTTTTTTTTGGTACCAGGGATGGAACTCAGAACCTTGTGCTTGTGAAGCAGGTGACTAATTATTGACAAAGTGAAAGCTAAACAATTATGAAGACCAATCATTACAACAAAGCGGAAAAGCAGTAGCCAATCCCCTTTACCCAAATCATTTAAAGACCCACTCAATGTTGTGTTTAAATACACAGGATATCCAAAATGTGATTGTTTCCCTATGAAACATAAACAAACGACACTTCTAAAAAGGACATTTCACAGCTGAGTTATATTTGGTTAGCCTACTTCAATCAACTTTAATCCAACAGTATAAACCATTTTAACAATAGATGAATGATAAGATAGCTATGAAATAATACTAACAATTAAGCTATACTGAATTTTTTGACCTACATAACAGCCTTCCAAAGTAAGTTCTGTTACTATCCTGCTTTAACAGAAGAGGAAACTGAGTACAAAGAGTTTTAAGGAATTTGTTTAAAATGACACAGCTAAGAATTGCCAGGGGAGGAATTTGAATCCAGATAGCCTGCTGGTTCCAAAGTCTATGTATTTATACCACCTCGCTGTAATGATACCTAGGTAAAACTTAAAATTAATCACATTCCTCATGTACCAAACACTGTGTGAAGCCATAGGTAGGGAGAAAAAGAGAGACAGAGAGAGAGAGAGAGAATTGCTGCATAGTGATAAGGATGCATCCTGAAAAATATGTAGTTAGACAGTTTTCTTAAGCACACATCATATGGTGTATTACACAAACCTGGATAGCCTAGCCTATTGTATACCTGTACATGTGATGTAGTCCGTTGCTCCTAGGACCATGATGAACAGATCCACGTGACATTAGATCAAGCACAAGAGAAAATGATGCAATCCAGAGATGCAGTAGCACAAGATGTGTGAGGCTGCTGTTGGCATAAAATGGCATCCTGTTGTATGGCAATTATATTTTTAGTATAAACAGGAGGACACACTAAAATAACAGAAAATGAGACCTAAGTAAATATATCAGCCAGCCACAAAGTCCTTTATTATAATTTTCATGTATTATGTAGTATATGTAGTTGTATGTGCTATACTTTAACATGACTTCACACTGGGATCTCCACAAACATGTGAGTAATCCATCAATACCTCATGTTATGATGTTGTTAGTGCAGCACATGACTGTATTACCACATTAACTTCATAGGCTGGGACACTTGGATACAAGTAAGAGGGATAACAATCAAATCATTATTCTGTGTGTATTTGGTATAACATGCTCATTTGATTGTACTCATAGTCTTTGTGTCATGTGACCATACGATGATGGTGAAATGAAGTTCTTTTATGATGTCTTTCTTGCAGGGGTGGAATGGTTCAAACAAGTGAGCAGTATGAGTTTGTGCACCATGCTCTGTGCCTCTATGAGAGCAGACTTTCAGCAGAAATTGTCCAATGACTCACTGAAGACTGACCGGATCATCGATCTCTTAGGGTGATTTATCAAATTACCCCTTTCTTGAGAAGCTTCCTACAGTGGAAGGAAAGAGGAGCTCTGAAGCCAACCTGTGGCATGGATTGAGGAAGGCTTGGCAACATGTGAGAGATTTCCCTCCCCTTGTGTATAAGAAAGCATTCGTAAGCATCCCCCAAATTACTCTGAAGGTCCTATGCTGATGAGGTATGATAGATTTCTCACACAGCCTGAGGCAGATGTCCTTCTGTCTATATCGACTGTCTGCCACCCAAAATATAGGTGTGTGATATCCGGTGATAACTGTCATCAGGTGATGGACTGGAAGAGCTGCTGAAGAAACCATTACTGTGTGTTTAGATGCTTTCATGTTTGCAAAGTCTGTCTTGTGAGTGAACTGGCAGCTGTTCACCTGTCCTGTGTCAAGTGCTATTACCTGTCTCAGTTAACAGAACCTTGCTGCTAACATTGCAAGTGACTGATAATGGATTTTTAACAAATAAGTTTTTGTTTTTGAAAAAAATCAAAAGCAGTAACTATTTTATATGGAAATGTGACTTGATAATATTATCTATGAAATATGTATTCACAGTACCTCTTATCAATCAATTACAGAGCACAATGGTTGTCAATGGATATATATGTACTTACTCTTACTAGGCATAGAGGTGGCCCCCACTCTGGAACTCTATCCACTATATTTCTACATTGAGACTTGTTTTACTTTGAAGAAAAAAAAAACAAATTTGTAGCAACTATGAGGTACCACAAATTTTAAATAATTGTCTCTCTTTTGCTAAGAAGGGATTTTTGAATATGCTACCTATTAGGAATCCCTCTCCCACTAAAAGGCTGATGCCTTTGGGGTTGACGTAACCTGTTCTATTTCCAGAGGTTATTCCTAAGAAAGGTCCCTCATATGTCCTTACATTTCTGAAAGGTTTAACCCTCGAGACAAAGTTAAAATAACTACACTCAGCAAACACCTGTTCTGCTCAAATATGAATTTTTAATGCAACAATGTTGACTTTGTTTCATACTGCCAATAAACTACTCTTAATACTAAATATTGAGTAAAGTCTATTCTTTTCCTTTTCTAGTTAGAGACAGGCTATTATCTATCTGGGGAATCCTGAAGTAAGTAACATGATGGGTTTAATTTTACTTTCAGCATCTGCCCAGTGGTGATGACTCTCTCCAAATGTAATATTATCATTACTTGAGAGATAATGAGCTAAAAGTGCCATCATTATGTGGTTTTCCTCATAGACTCCCAGCATATCATTATACAAACAGTATATGTTTATGTCTTTATATCACTTGTCATACACCCTCATAAACTACCTGGTTTGCATATATTCAGCAGAATCACATCACCTGAAAAGATGTAATGTTACAGGAGCATTCAATTATCTAAGATTATGATTCCTTTCTTCCCTCTTGAGGTTAAGAAGTCATGTGCCAACGAGACGGTAGGTAGGTGACAACTTAAGAAGGCTTATTCTGTTCCTGGAGGCTAGAGCTACATTTTTTTAAAAAGAGAGAAGTAATCATAATCCCTTCTTTCTAAGGAAACAGACAAAAGGACACTGGTGTAAAACTTCCCTCACACAATTCAATTGGAGGAAGTGCTCGTCACTGACTTTTCCCCTCACCATGAAGGCATATTTCCTTCCTAGTCTTTGCCTCTCTTATCTGGGAGAATTTTTTTTTCTCCCCAAGCGAAGCGTGAACAGTTGTTAAGTGGAAAATGGAGGCTGAATTTTACATGGCGATCCTTACCTGCTTGATCTTCACAAGTTCGGGTGAGTGGGTCTGCCTCAGTTTCCTGAGGTATAGCTCCCAAATCTAACGGAGGAGTCCTTGGACCTTTGAAAAATGTCTAAAATGAGGCAGAAATGCAGTGTGATCTTCATGGCAGGGTAGCCAAAAACAGTGAGGAGGGGGAATGAAAGGAGTCAGCTGTGCCTACACTGCTGAGATTGCTCTCCAACAGCAAATAAGTGCTGTCTTCATGTCCCCCAAATCCACAGGCAGCACAGCTTCTGAAAGGGATCTTTACAACAGACAGTGAAAAACGCTCAGGAGAAAATTTTTATTATTATGTAGCAGGCTGTGACATTCCCCCTGTTTGGTTCTATTCAGTTTACAGTTTTACTTTCTTTCATGTCAAAGAAAAAAAACTTAAGGAATATAATTAAAGAGGTGAGGAAATTTGTTTTATTTGGAACTTGTCATTTGGAAGAGCTGAATATTTGCATGGGAGAGCTGGGAAATTGAAGTAAAAACTCATTCGAAATGGTTTATATGTCTAAATATCTCACTTCTCACTTTGGATGTTTCATAAGAGGGTTTAACTTTTCTTACATTAAGATTTGCTGATTTTTTTTTTAATCTGGCATTTCAGGGAAATGTAGACCTTGTCACAAAAATAAATGCTGCTCTGCCAGGACTATAGAAAATTTGGTTTGAGAATTGATCTTCTTTCTTTAGTTATTATTTGCTGGAGGTGGTGATTAGAGGGGTGAGAAAATGGGTTTTATGTTTATCTTTTAATAAATGTATATAGTTTGAAATTTTTGGCCAAACTATGTGATCTGTATACAATTACTTATTACAGTGTGAATTTAAGGACTGAAGGAGAGTATTTTTTTTTAATAGTGGAGAAACTAACCTAGAGCAAGTCATATGGTTAAAAAAGAAACTAACATGTACACAATTATGGCACATGTAACTAACTGGGCTAAGACATAATACCATATTCTTTGGATGTGACTTTCCTTATCCAAAGGAAAACCAAATTCTTTAGATGATTTTGTTTCTTCTCCAAGCTTCCTTTCGTTTTTCCAATGGGTGGATGTTTTCTTCCCTAAACCACCCAAAAGCTTTAAAAGGTGGGAGAGGGGATACTTTAAGTGTGACATTTTGACATTTTTCATTGTCAGCTTTAGGATTTTATGATTTTTTTTCACCCTGAGATTTTAAATTATGGGTGCTGAATCTGGGAATGTTCACTGAAATGATTAAAATAGCACAATATAAGTACACCTAGTATTTTTACTTAACTAATTTGTGGAAGGGTGGTTTGGTTTTCAATGGTCCTTATTATCTGTGACGCAGTATTTTATAAGTTTTTCATCTTCCAGAGGGGTTTCAGATTGTCCATGTCCAGAAACAACAGTGCCTTTTCCTAAATCAGAAAGTGATTGTGGGCTCATGCAATGGGACCAGCCAGAACCAGCAGTGGCTGTGGACTGAGGACGGAAAGCTCCAGCATATTCAATCTGCCCTGTGCCTGGGTGTCTCCAATTCCTCTGGTGGTCCCATCCGAGCAGCTATCTTCACCCACTGCTCCTGGGCACCCCAATGGACCTGCTATGAGCAGGAAGGGTTCCTTGAGGTGGCAAATACATCATTCTTTCTCAAGAAACAAGGCCCAAGGGTAGTGATCAAGAAGGGCAAGAAATACCTCCATAGCTGGATGAAAATAGATGCCAATGAGGAAGGAAAACTGATCAATGAAAACCTCTGCTTAAAAAAAGGTGAGCTATTCCTTTCAGAATCAATTCTGAAAGTCCTACTGAATGTCTTTAAGTTAAACTATTTTTACTGTGAATTTCTTTCTCTATTAGAGGTTTTCTTTAGCAAGTCATAAAAGATAAACTAACTGAATCACAGCATATTAGGCACAAAGGACCTTACAAATCACTGGAGAAATTCTCTAGAAATGCAGCCCCTCACTTAGGAAAATGAAAATTGTCAAGGTTAAGTATATGGTTTCAGATCATCCGTAAAATAGCTATGAATAGAACCAAAGTTTCATAACTTCTTGTTCAATATACATTCCATGACACTGAAGTTCTCAAATGTATGACTATAGACTTTTGGGCAACGGGCCTCATGAGAATTCCTAGGGAAGGAGGATCTGGATTTGTACATAATGTTGATGTTTTTTAAAGGCTTCCCGTATAATGAATCCATAATTCTCATTTGGGGATCAACATCTACTGTTCCCTTAAATCTTTCTTCTCAAGTGTTTCTTTTTGAAGCTGTTAATGTGTTCCCCACCATGCTAATCTTTGAAGATTTGCATTCTGTCATTTATTTATTTCATTAAGTTAAACAATTAGATACCAATTGAATGCAATGGAATCTTCTACAATAAAAGGTAAGAGTTATAGCTCTTGCTCTTATATCATTTCTGGTTCTGCAAAGAAGATAAAAATTTAAATGCCAGGTAGAAAAGTCAACATTATCAGAAAATATGCAACATATAGTTCCTATTTACACAACTCCTTTCCTATGGTTTATTTACCAACAGCACAGAAACATTGTAAATATCCCAGTTGTATTGCTATACATAGGAAGTAAGATGCTTCCCCAAGCCTTAGCTGAAGATTCCTTAATTGGAACTTTACAAAAAAGTAGATGGATCCACTACCCAAGATAGAAAAAAATTCATAAACATACCATCTCCTTTGAACTTTGACACTCATGGAAAATATGTCCAGTTATGGACTTCAAGAGTAAAATGCATAGAATAGATCATTTGTACTTAGCTACTAACATGCCATATCCAAAACATAATCAATAGCGTGAATTTTAAAATAACAACAGGAGGCTGGGCATGGTGGCGCACACCTATAATCCCAGCACGTGGGAGGCAGAGGCAGGAAGATCACTGAGTTTGAAGCCGGCCTGGGATACATAGTGAGTTCAAGGTCACACTGAACTACATAGTGAGGCCCTGTCTGAAAAAATAAAATAAAATCACAGGTTTCTAGAAAAAAGCAATTTAAAACTTTTAAATCTTAGATTTGAATATATGTAAATATAATACATACTTTGGCTTTAAACCATATTTTTCTGCCCCTTTTTCAATTTACTATTGACTAATGATTTTATTTTGCTAGAGTAGCCACAATAAAAATTAACTAAAATGCATTCATATGTTTGCAATGGATGATTCCAAATACCTTTTTAACTTGACAACCAAATACTGTAATCTAAATCTGCACAAATATGAAATATCTGCTTTATTTTTCCATAGGATTTAAATGTTTCTTACATAGGATATGAATAGTTCTTTAGTAGAATAAAAGAAGAAAGTGAAGGTAAATATCTAAACTATATTTTTCATGTTTGCTTCATAAAAGAAGCATTCATGATTTCACTCAAGCATCCAAGTAATATTTATCGTTAAACACCTACTACGTGCCAGAGTTTGTGCGGGTGGCTAAGGTACTTGACACCAGTGACTCTCAACCTAAGCTTTATACTAAACTTAGGTGATAGCTTTTCAATAATATTAATGTCTGATCCTCATCCTCAAGACCAGTTATTTCAGGTATTGTACTTTCAAGTGTTTCCTAGGTGATTCTAATGTTCAGCCAAGCTTAAAATTCGGTAATTACTTCTTGTTCCCTAGAGTAGCACAGAAGATGGATAAGTAAATATGTGATTATATTAGAGTAAATAGAAAGAATGTACCCTTCTTCCAATACACAATGTCTCTATGTCACCCTGAGCACTCATTCCTTAAGAATTTTTTCCAGGGTAATTTAAAAATTGTGCATTTTATAAACTGCATTTTGAGATTTCACTGGGTTTTATCATACTTATCTCAGTTCTCACTAGAGTATATTGTTTTTCTTCATCTTCTATTTTACTCATTGAATAGAATTCCAAATTACATTAAAATTGAATTTTAAATTACTAAGAAAAAAATTTAGATGAGTGTCTATGGTACAGTAAGGTATTTCAAACAATTGTTCCAACTCTGGTTATTTCCATTAGGGTAAGGATGTAAAATTAGTCTGTCTTTTTAAATTTTTCATATAATCATATTTCTTTGAAACCCCTTCATACACCTGTTAGCAGTACAAATAGAATAGCAGAATAAAACTTAATGGAACCTACTTGGTAGAAATATAATTAAATAACATTTGTGGGTTGTATGGCACAGGGACACTTGTCTGTAACAGATGACCAAAGTAAATACTGGGTTGAGATTTTCATTGTTTCCTCTGAATTTCAAGGGTACCTTAAAGAATAATTGTATGTTTTCATTTTAGACAAAGAAAGACTGTCTCTGTGTCAGATATACTTTTTTCTTTAAAAATCACATTTTAAATATTTTTTTAAAAATTTGAACCATACAACTATCATTCTTAGTAACAATAATAATAATAATAATACTGCTCCAAAATACCAAATTATCTGGCTAAAAACTTAACAGATATCATTCTTCCCATATATGTATCTTGTGAATCAGACACCAAATATTTAAAAACACTCATGTTATAAATTCACACAAGGTACACATCAATAATGTAATAAAATTTGTTAAATAGCACTGATAGTACTGAGTCCTATATGTACTGCTTTTCCTGTATATCCTGTACATACATACTAATGATATGGCTTAATTTTTAATCTAGGCACAATAAGAAGTTAACAATAGGTAATAATAAGGTAGAGCAATTATATCACTCTACTGTGATCAAACATGAATATTATCACTATCTCTAAAATATCTTCTTTGTATTTTTATTTTTTCACTTAAAGGAAGTACTTTAAGGCTTCTTTGGGGCATACCCAAATTACCAGAGTCACTACTTTTACACCTCAGGACCATTATTAGGTAAAATAAGGGTTACTAAAGAAGCACTGCAATACCACAAGTAGATCTAGTAACCAAGGTGGCTACTAAGTTACTACTGGGCAGGTAGCACATACAGTTCAGATTCACTGGACAAAGGGAATATTCAAGTCTTGGCAGCGCTGACTGACAGGCTGAAGATTTTATCACATGACTCAGAATGATGCACAATTTAAAATATAAACTGTTTACTTCAGGAATTTTCCAGTTAATATTTTTGGACTATAAATAGCTAAAATAGAAAGTGAAACAACTGAAAAAGGGAGAATTTTTGTGGAGTAATGGGAATTTAATCCAGGGCTCAAACACACTAGCCAAGTCTTCTACCACTGAGCTACAACCAAAGAAAGGGACTTTTATCTTGTCAGCCAGGCTCACCAAGTTCTGACTAAATGAATAAATGTTGCAACTATCACAGAGTGCTGAATTTCAAATTTGTAGAAAATATTAAAGGAATGGTAAAGCTTTGAAGACTACTTTGAAGACTTTTGTATTAAAATTATATTTGTTGACTTTTATCCAATCCAAGCATAAGTTTTAAACCCAGGCCATCAAAACATACAGTTGTATCTATTCCAACAGGAAATAGTCTTGGCCTAGCAGGTAGACAACAAAATTTACAGTGGCCCAATCTTGCAGTTTTATGAATTTACCTAATAGGGAAAATAGATCATTACTTGATTTTCATATCTATATAGGAAAGAAAGAAATTTACATAAAGGAACTTATTAGTTTGAGAGTAGATCTAAGAAAATAATCTTCGACAGAGGATATTAAAACATTGTAAACTTGAAACTGGCTTCAAAAACAACATGCACACAAACCCATTAACAGACTGTGTGAAAGTAGTTCTAGGAAAAGAGGGGAAAATCCCATCCATGGTTTGAATACCTTCTCCAGTGGTGCCTAAAATTGTTACTTTCACTCAGATGCTTCATATTGAGAGTAACGTTGAGTATAAGATCTCAACCAACCAATCAACATTTATTCAGTACTTCCTGTGTATCAGTTCATCCAAATATCATATTTACCTGAGGACAAGCAAGTTCTCAAGTGTCCTTGATGTGGACAAGTTGACCAAATCACTGAAAAAGACTTCCATGATGCAGTAAGCCACATTATTAGCAGACTGATATAACTGCTGGTTAAAGTCATTGTTTAATTGTAGTAATTCAGGTGAGAGGATAAAATTCATAAGCACTGTAAAATATAAGTAATCACATACATTACTGGGAGAAAAGATTTTAGCAGAAATTCTTTGCTTTAGTGTCTGGCAGAAGTACTTGTGAATACAGTCTGTGGAGGAAATAGTGTCTTTCATATATTCAAGTCCTAGGTGGACCAAGTTAGCTCTCATAGATATTTTATCTCTTTCTCTTTGCATCATCAACATGGATCTGATAATGGAACATGTTTTTAATACTATCATGGAAACTAATATCCTCCGTAATTGGTTATATGTAGTTTATATGATCATTGAAAATAAGTGGCACAGATTCATTATTTCCCAACCATTCTTAGCCTGTAACCTACTGTGGACTTGGATCATTTTTGCCTCTGTGAGCCCTTTCCTCTATTAAAAAAATGAAAATAATTTAATAGATTTTTATGGGCCCTAAATTTTCAAAGTATGTGAAAAAATTAAAAATGTTCTATTATAAAGTTTCGTTTTTTCATTGTTAAGGAAATTTAATCATTCAGTGGGCTCTAAAGATGACCCCATGCACTGTAACTATTGTGCCTACTGGGTAAATCAGTCCTGCGCGTGCCAGGTTGTGCACCCCCTTCCCATTACCCATTCCATGACCCTGAGAAGTAGCCTCTGGCTCAGCATCTCTGGCACAGCCTGATATCCCTAAACAAAGAAGCCACTCCTCCTCC